CTGGTCCCATCTTCAAGTCCTACCACTCATTACCCAATTGTAGAAGAGTTAGAGAACTCCTGCAACCAGCGTGTCAGTAAAAAGTATTTACAGGGTCTCTTATGCAATACCCGAGCCCTGAATAATGGGCCCCCAAAAGTGCGTCGGCCATTTTAGATTATCCGATTGTGAACCAGAAACATTAAAAGCTTTGGCGCTCGCAGACCTTAGGCTTGGCGCTCTCGGACCTTAGGCTTGGCGCTCTCGGACCTTAAGCTTGGCGCTCTCGGACTGTGTACGTGCAGATTCTCAATTCTTGGTCCCCCCCCCCCCCCCCTTTTTTTTTTTTTTTTAAAGGAGGAGAGCTCCAGGGAACGGTCCAACAACAAGCTGGCTCAGAGCATGGGGCGAGTATAACTTATTTTAGCACCTAGACAAAAATCGAGCACTTAACCCTCGCAGGGGCTTCTTCCGCACACTGCGAGGGGTAATAAAAGTTTTTCCTGGAGTTCCTCTTTAAGGGGTGTCCTGTTTTGAGGAGAGGAGCCTCACCGGAGCCAATGTGGCCGGTTATAATCTGACCCATTCATCCAAAATTTGTATCCAGCGCCTCTTGTCTTTACTGATGTGAGCTGAGGCACTTTGATAAATGAGGCCCCTGTAGCTCTCCATTTGTACTCAGAACATTTCCTCCTTTTCTTACAACATTTAAAATGATCTAAACAAGGCTCAGGTACATATACAGCTTTCAGATCTGAGCAACCAAGCACATGAACGAACTACAAATAAAACGCACCCCCTCCTGACAGAATCGACTCTCAACTTAACCGTAAGGGCCGCTTCACACCACAAAGTCGGCGTTCCAGAGCGTTCTGCCTCCGAAAAGCAAACCGGCCGGCTACTTGTGGGAGGGGCAGTGCATTGAAGTCAATGGCACCGCAGCCACACCCCCTGCCTGCTTGCACCGGAACGCAGGCACATTAGTGCTTGCCTTCCAGTCCAATGCGACCTTCAAAAATGCAGCAAGCACTATTTTTGCAGATCACACTGGAACAGAACGCAGGCATTAATGTGCCTGCGTTCCGGTGCAAGCAGGCAGGGGGTGTGGCTGCGGTGCCATTGACTTCAATGCACTGCCCCTCCCACAAGTAGCCGGCCGGTTTGCTTTTCGGAGGCAGAACGCTCTGGAACGCAGACTTTGTGGTGTGAACCGGCCCTAAAGGATAAGTGGACGTTAAAATAAAAGTACATTCATCCCTTTTGCCCCTTTACCCTAACCCGCCCCTCCCCCTATTACTCCAATTCGATGGCCGCAGTTCTGCGGTTTGGTTACATCCAAGCTTGGCCACACCGGTGCATTAGTGCCCCATAGACGTCCATGAGACTGAGCCCCTGGGGCGATCAGAGATGGTCCTATAGAAGTCTTTGGGACACGACTAGGACAGTGCAGACCTGCGGATGCGCCATCAGAGTGAGGCAAGTTAGGGGAAGGGGGGCAAAAAGCGTGCGATTTGTCTTAAAGGGCACTTATCATTTAATAATGAATTTGCTTCAGCCAGACAGATCCTGTCCTATGGTATCCTAGGTAACTAAATAAAAAAATAAATAAGATGACCCCATGTTATCTCTTCAGAATACAAGCCCAGTGCCTTACAATGCTCCCCAGGGATGGGGCGCATGGGAGATATTTGGCAGCATCATGGCGCTACTAAAACCGCTTGTGATCAATTACTGCCGGCCAGGCACATCGGTGCACGCACAAATTTGGAGCACCGTGCAATCATTTTCCATGTCCCCCTCCATCGGGGGGCTGCTCTCTCTGTGCAGTGACCAATTGGGGTCGATTTCAGTTGCAAGCTCATGTTACTAAATATTGCCCATATAGCATCCGGCCCTGAACGATGTGTCACAAAACTGCACTCCCAAAAATATGTATATTATTATATAGAGTCCTCCCACACCCGGGCAGCACCAACCGCCCCCTCCCATGAATCGTCATGTATGATCTTGGCACGCCTTCTGTACTCACTCTGTTGGACTCCATGCCGGAACGTCCGTGGAATTTGACAGTTTTAAGTCTTGCTCGCTCTTTCTTCTCAACTCTGCAAAAAATACACAACGGACAGATTTATATCCAAAAATCTATGGCCGAGCGCTGCGGAGGGAGAGCGTTGTGAGCGGCCGGCGTCTCTCCTCCCACACCGCTCAGCCTCCTATCACAGTCTGGCAGAACAGTGTGTGGGCAGAGACAGCCGCACGGTCACAGGAGGCTGAGCTCTCCTCTCGCACCGCTCGCTCAGCCTCCTATGACAGTGTGTGAGAGAGGAGAGCGGGTACAAGCAGTCGGTGATCAGTGATCGCTGAGTGTTTGTAGATAATTGAGGACATTGTATGTGTACTATATCCCAAATTATGAATGAATGGGAAGTGATCTACATCACCTCCTGTTCATTCATGATTGTGGATATAGTAAAACACACAAATGTTCTCAAGTTATGAATGAACAGGAACTCTCAGTATAGAGGATTCCCGTTCAATGATAACTGGAGCTGCAGAATAAGAGATTGAGGACTCCGTGTCCTCAATCTATTTTTCTATTTTAAAAATGGAAATATCAGGGGTCTGTTTAGACCCCCTCCTACCCCCATTCAAGTGCTGACTGGTATCCGCTCACAAGATTTCTGACAGGATCAGATATTCTTTTAACAGTACAATTTCAATTGTATATTTTAAAAACCAGACGGGAGCAAATGTCAGAGTTTTCGGAATGGGGAAGGAGCAGACCAGGATGATGACATTTTAATGGTGGGCACGGTTGGGGAGGTACCCCTGCATTACCTGTGCAGCTAATAGATACACACATACTATGATACTGCTAACAGCCAGAATAGGATTATGTATATGAATGTCAGCAGCGGCACCAGGCCAGGTATGCCGCTGGGTCTCCCCCTCTCGGATTGGCTAGCTTTCTGATCAAATCGGGAAGCCGGGCAGCGCGTCATTGCACGCTACCCGGCTTCCTGATTTGCGGGAAGTCGGTTCCATGCTCTTTCATCACAAGTGACGAGAGCATGGAGCAGTTTCCCGGCCAATAAGGAAACCGGGCAGCGTGTAATGACGCGCTGCCCGGCTTCCTGATATAGGAAGTACTCGTGCTAGGTATCGGAGCATTTGGGCGAGTACGAGTACTCACCCAAATACTCGGTATCGGCACAGATACCGATACTAGTATCGGTATCGGTGCATCCCTATTATACATATAATGACCTTCACTTGGAACACACACGGACACAGGGAGCCGTTCCGGAAAACGTGCACTCGGCTTCCAGTTACCTCTTTTTGCTGGGGATGACACCAATCTGCTCGCTCTCCCCGTGCGGAGTGACCAGTCTGGCCTGCCACCATTCATCATCAGAGGCATTGATGACATGCAGGATGTCCCCATAGGAGAAGCTCAGACCCTGGCTCGGTAGGCAGCTGTCCCGAGAGCGATCGTAGTCGAAGAGCGCCCTGTGAAGAGGACAAATTCCCAGTTACATATCTCGCGGTCACTAGTAAAAGCAGATCAACCAGTGTAACCAGTTCAAAGAAAAAACAAAAAGGCTCTGATCGATGTAAGACCCGCACACATGACAGCGTACATAAACACGTCAGCTTCATACATGAATATACTATGAACGGCAATGTTTACCCGTATCCATTCCATAAGTTACTTGCCCGGCTCAGCCATGGTGGGAGATGCTCTATACAAGTATTACAGCTCACACCCTTTTATGTATCTATAGTCTTTTACCCCCAGAGTTTAGGATTTTCACCTGGAAATGCATTCAATTTCTGCCATTTCCTGCTCTCCCCCCTCGAGTGTTCTATCCTGGCCGAG